AAGGACAACGCATAGAATATAAGATATATTTATTCTTTAGGGAGGCGCTACGGGTAAATGATTTAATACGTATTCGACATCTTCTTTAATAATAAGATTTAAAAGAGAATCATTTTATAAATGAGTTTTCATGAGAGATGATATCCATATTTGGTTTGTATTTATAAATGAACCCAAAATAGATCTCCGTATAAATAATCATTTGAACCGATTTTGTGTCTCTTCTTTATCTATTTTGGGTTTGAGTATCTATATTGGTTTCTTGTTGGAGACGGTCTAAGGCCATTTGTAACATGTTTTTTTCCTCAAAAAAAAAATTGTAACGTTTTTTTTCCTGTTTAATGTGTTTTATTTTTAAATGAGCTGATTCTTGTGAAACTTTTATATGATTATTTTAAAATTCTTGCGTTTTTCAAAAAGGACTTAAATGTGAAGGTAGCATCACAGTTGGCTTGAATTATATAGTGATTTTTAAAAAAAAGGAATAACTGTCACCGAAATGCTCTAATGTAATGCGCTTGCATATCTGGTTGTTCCTCTCGGCGAGGCCTAACAAAGCCCGAGGGGCAGATCTTGTGTGGTTTATCGGGGTTCGCCGACTCCGACTAACTTTGTAAATCCTATGGTAAATTACTGTCCAAGCTCAATAAAATTTATATCATGTCATGAACTTTTTTTTTTGGGTTCATGTCATGAACTTAACTTCAGTAATCAATGATGTTTTCGGCTCATTCGCCACCCAGACGACACAAATTTTTAGCCAACTTGCGTAGTGTGACTGTGCGTCTGTGTGTGACTCTGGAGCAAATGTCAGTTTGCTTTGGTGAAAGTTGTGCTGCAGTTTGTTGGATCTGGTAGATCAATTCCGTTCAAGCGCCGAGCTGTTTGTTTTGCAAGTAAGATATCTCGAAAAATGGAACAAAGAGGCAAGGTACAATGGTCAATTCAGCCATCATTCTCTCTTGCACCTGCTCAATCACATAGAAAGGACAAAGGAGAAGCGAGTAGAGTTTTTACATAAATGCAAAGGTTCACCACACTGTTTCTTGAAGGTCATTTCCTCCTTTGTTGGAGCAACCACCTGAGAGGGTGATAGCAGTTTCGCGACGAAATGTACATATGAAAAGAAGCCCATCACTCAACCGTTAGCCACCTTGATCGCATCGTTTGTCCATCCAAGCCCATGCCTCGTGCTCCCTGCTCTTGCAAGAGGTTAGCCAAACGATCTTCCAGGTGACTGGATCAAAATTCACTTCCACGGTTTCGACAGCCAGCACAACCAAGTTTATTTTGCTACTTTGATTCTCCCAGCCATAAAAACAATATTTTTTAATAAAATTCCACCAAATTTAAAATACCAGTGTGAACAAGAAAAGTGAGCACCATATTTTCATGGCATCCCAGAGGCAATGCCCCCTCGGTAACTGACACGCAACATAGCGCTTCCTATAGTCAATTTTACAAGACGGACGGACGTCCCAAGCGATCAGTTGGGGCCCTCCACGCCACTTGGGTCGGATGAAACGAGAGGATAAGAAACGCCGCCGCAAAGTAGCAAAGAAGCTGCAGGAGGATGGAAGTACGTGCTTGTGCAGTTGTGCTCTACCATCTACCACCATCCTGTCCGTCTGTCTGGGCCCGGCGCGCGCCCCGGTCGCGTGGAAGAAGCCAAGAACCAAAGCAATTCAGAACGCCACGGCCGCGCACCCCTCCTTACGCGATCCCAGCCGAAGCCGACGCCGCGCGCGCCACGCTCTCCTCTCCGCTCCTCTCCCGGGCGGCCACGCACCCCACCTTTCCCTCCACGTCACTCCGGCTCGCAAAACCATCGCCGGCGGGCTACCATACCACCCTGCCCACAAATATTCCCCGCCCTTTTCCCCACGTCGAGTCATCTCCCACCACCTGAAAACGCCGGAACCCGATTCCATTCTTCGGCGCCCTCTGTAGTATAGCCGGTGGAGCTGCCGATCGTCTCACCTTTTGTAACCCAGCAGCATGTGCCATCCGGGGCTGCCGCCTCTGCCGCCGGGCTGCGCGGTCAGGCGGCGGGAGCGGCAGGCGGCCGTGGCACCGTCGCCCTCACCGTCTGCGCCACGTGCCCATCAGGCCCAGGCGGCGCCGCACTACTACTGCGTGTGCTCGCCCACGGGGCATCGGGGCTCGTTCAGGTGCCGGTTGCACCGCAGCGGCTTCGAGTGGGGGCGCCGGCGGCCGTTCGCGAACACACCGGGGCGTGCTGAAGCCGGGACGACGACGATGCACGTGCGGATGGCGGCGCCTTGACGGTTCTCGCCCGGTGTCAGGCGGTCGGGCACTGGCAGCCTGGCTCAAGCTGTATATTGGTGTGGTGTGTAGACGATGCAGTGTGTTCTGTGTTGGTCTCTCGGCTCCTCATGGCGCCTTCTAGTTCTTAGTGCACTGTGGATATGTAACTGTACAAACTGCATAGCTGTCAGAAGAAACGCAGATAGACATGTGATTATGTGAACATACATGACTTTATACAGCTCCCTAGATTTGCCCAGAAAGTGACGCTGTCGTGCATTATTGGTTAATAAAGCCAATCAGTGAAGAATAGCATCAATCGTGCAATCGAATCTGATGCAGGATTCAGAATCGAATTCATGCGTATGCACAGGTTATTAAACTAAGTACAGGAAAACTAAGGAATAGCTGCATGATGGCTGTCAGTCCATGGTGATCCTGCCCGGACCACCCTTGAGTGAGCTGTACAGCGGCCTCGATCGTTTGAAGCCGAATATGTCTGTAATTCTGTACATTTTGGGCGGATCAGCTTCGGCGATCGCCTTCTTGAATTCTGCCGAATGGTTGCCGCCGAAGACTTGCACGCTTACTGTCCTCCTTTGAGGTGCGTCCACTTTTATGTACTGATCGAAGTACTCAATGAATTCTTCTTTCTCGAGCTCTCTTAGCATTGCGACCTGTTACATTTGTTAGCGAAGGTCATACATCTTGACAATTACTGGCACAATCCTCTTATTTCTGTTTCCTCTGAATATAAGGTAGTGACAATTATAAATTTCGTGATAATTTTCAACTATTACAGTATTATGTGTTTTACTTGAAAGGCTACAGCCTGTTTGCTTTATACTTGATACAATTTCCTTTACAAGCATTGTTGCTGAAAGGAGAACACTTACCTCAGACTCGACTCTATCAAACTTCAGAGTTCCAGCCTCAATCTCTCCCCAGTAGAAATGAGATTCCTCCCATAAGTTTTTAAACTTCTCCAGTTTAGAATCAATTAGTGATTTCACATTTCTCTGAAATAACAAAGCCCATGTCAATGCTTCAAGCGCAAAAGATCTAGTCCAGTGATATGAATTAAGGTCCTTTGGTTATGAGCATACAAATAGTCCAATATTACAGGAAAAAAAAATGAGGATAAACTTAGACTATGACGTCATATTTCTGATTTTTTTCACCCATAGTTTCCCATCCTTTTGATCCACTATCTAGGTCCACATGTTCTCACCAATAATGAGTCCTGTGGTAAATGTGGCTTCTTTCAATCCAATGGTGGTGATGTTAAAGAGCGTCGCATGGTGTACTTACAAAAGGAACAACAATTTTGCACTGCAAAGCACATGGTTTACTGGAAAAAATCATTAGGCCTTGTTTGGATGCATGTGTATTCATCTCAATCCACATGTGTTGGAGTGGAATGGAATGGAACTTAGTTAATTCCACTTCAATCCACTTCAACACATGTGGATTGGGATGAATACACATGCGCATCAACAAGGCCTTAAGTGCGAATGGAAAACCAAAGGCACTAACCTTGAAATCCTTGTCGGAGAGTTCATAGATTTTGCTTTCAAACATCTTAAAGAATTCATCAACTCTAACATCAAGGTATGAAGGATCCTAGGCATCCAACAAAATATCAGCAGGAGCAACAACTACTGTAGGTTCTTTTCAAAAAAGAAAAAAAGAAAGAAAGAAAGAAAAAAAACTACTCTAGGTTCACGTGTACCTTTACTGTGGACTGGATAACAACCTGGAGTGCCAGGACTCCATAGTCGAATCTGTAGAATGTAGCAATCATTGTAAGCTAAGATCTAAATGATATTTCAATTTTCAAATGTGAACTAAATCTTCATGTTATTCCTAAAAGGAGAAATTGACAAGCAGTACATGTAACAAAAACCTCAAGCATATACCTCAGAGAAAGACTTGTTATATACCCAAGTTGTTCAACAGTTCGTAGCTGGTTGAAGGCTGGCTGGCTTGCTATTAGAGAGAACAGCTCAAGTTTGATATTCAAAATGGCGTCATCCTGATGCACCTGAATATATTAAAGATACTTAGTATCTTGGAATGCTTACAGTTAGTTTGAATGTCCCCTAGCAAGGTACATTCCATATATAATCAGAAAATCAGATATAATGAACCAGGGAGAGTGTTTAATTCTTATATTGACTATGGGTCAGAGAAGACTTAATTCATTCCGACTTATAAATAAATTCTTGTTGAGTTTGAGTATTTGATATTAGTTTGCATGTAAGCAGAATATTGTATCACAGAGCTTTAAAATGTTAAATAAATGGGGTAAAACTTGCTGAATCTAATGAGTTTCACTGAGTGCACAACTCAGTGATAACCAGTGAACCACCAACAATCCTCTCCACAATATTTAAAGGTACAAAGTACAAACCACCAATCACTTAAGTTTTGATTAATTCTCCCTCTGTTTTCAAATATATGACGCTGAGGACAAGCTATTTAGTTTATTTTTAACTAAATAGTTTGTCCTAAACGTCATATATTTAAAAATGGAGGTATGATTGCACTTAGGGCTGTTTGGTTGGGAGCCTGGCCTGGGCAGCACCAGCCAGGCAGCTTCATCCAGCCCCGCCTGGGAGAGCTGCCTGCGCCAGACAGGTCCAGTCCACAAAGCAAACAGGCCCTTACTGCATGGAAGGACATAAGACATCTATACCTTCTTTCAAAAAAAAAAAAGAAGACATCTATACCTGAATATATTGGATAACTGATGAATTCTCATTCTTCTGGTTTAATCCCTCAGTTTGGTAGTAGCATTTCAACTCATTTTCAAGCATGATGACCCTTTTAGTCAAATATTCTGATGGAGACATGGATTTGAACAAAGAATTGGGGGCATTAAATATAGTGTTTTCGGTCTCTTCTACGACAGATTTTGCTTCACTTGGTTCAATGTTCCCTACAAGGAGAATTGTAAACGTGCAATTAGAAATATTTTCCACTCAAGACTCACATAAATAAATTAACACTATGATCGGTACAAATGCCAAACCTTGAACATAACATTCCAAAAATGTTTTCGACAGTAGGTGTGGTACAAACTTTGCAAAAGAATCTGATTCAAGCTTAGAAAGAGCTTCAAGTTTCTCAGCTACAGGCCATTTTTTATCTTCCAATATCAAAGAGACATAGTATGAAGCTTGAGAATAAGGTTGTCGGAAATTGAAATTCTGGTAGTCCTTGACAGATGTTTCCTGAGATTTAAGATGTTGGTCAGTAATTACTCATAAGAAATAATGATAATCCTTAGCATCACTGACTTTTCGAAATGTGCATATTGCTCTATTTCATCATAATCATGATGCAATGTGCCACTTGCTATGCATGAATGCATAAAAAACTGCACCATCACAAAACAGTTAAACCTTGGAACTAGACACAGTTGCGCGATAGCACCAGCCCCCCCAAAATTAAGGACCCCCAATCACTACTTAGTCACTAAGTCCAGTTATGTCAAGCCTAAAATTTGCTCCAAGTATGGGTTAGGTTCCACATACGGCCAAAGCCCACAATGTTACTACTCTGGACAGTGTGTAATATCTTTATGGCTTCTTGCCTCCTGGACGTGGATGCTTATGCCTTCAATTCTATTGACCTCGTGTCAACAAATTCGCATCAAGGTTTGATCACATTCAAAATTTACATCCTTTATTGGTTGCCATGAACTTCACTTTATTATTAATTTAGCTTTGTTCTATTTGTGAAATGTGAAACAAAGAAGTCTATTACTTTTCCACGTCTTGTAGAGTTAGAAACTACATACCAACTATTGCAACACCAAGGCCTCAAAATCCTAGGTATGGGCTTGATTAATAGGATATATGCTTAATAGCCTATTTTTTTCCTGCACAAATTGTGCTGTCTTTTTGTTAGCTAGTCCCTCCATCCCAAATTATAGGTCGTTTTGGCTTGTCTAGATGCATAGCATTTGCTATGCACTTAGATATACGATATATCTAGAATCTAGATACATAGTAAAAACTATAAAAAAGGGCGTACCCAGTGCAGAGAGCTCCCGCTCTGTGCGGGGTCTGGGGAAGGGTGTCAGTGGCAAGTCTTACCCTCGCCTGTGCAATGCGAGGAGACTGCGACTCGAACCTGGGACCTTCCGGTCACAGGCGGTAAGACTCTACCGCTTGCAAAAATCTAGATACATAGTAAAAACTATAGATCTAGAAAAGCTAAAACAACCTATAATTTGGAAAGAATGTCACATTTGTTAGCATCTCTAATAGGTATTGACTAAGACTGTAGTACTGGATGGTTAGGTGCATAGCTTAGACACCAAAATAAAGACAATTTGTTTTTCTAAAAGAATTATGTTAGATCGCTTCATTTGTATAAACTAAATTTAAGTATAAAAATGTCATGTGGGGACGCTCCTATACTCGACGTAGGAGGGCCCGCGACATCCGTCGCGCAGCAGAACGCGCTGGGCGCGCGGCAGGAGCGGCCAGGGAGGCGTCAACCATCAGTGGCTAGGAAGGAAAGATAGGATAGTTTCCCTCTTTTCAGTTCCACAATTTTAGGAATAATTAGCTCTAGTTGGTTTGGGCCTTAGGCCATATATATATATCTTGTAATCAGGACTAAGAGGAATAAGAAGTTATTTCCTAAATCCTCTCTCTTCTACAACCAACTAAGCCGACGGCTGAGGGGTAAAACCTCGCCGGCGACGACGGAACGAGGCTACGAACTCCGTAGCCGCGGTCCAGCTACCTTGGGCGCTAACGCCCTTGACAAAAAACCTTCTATTTAGCTAGATGATTTTTGGAAGACTGCCATAACTTCCATATAACTTGTAAGCTAACAAATATATCTCAATAATGAATAAGAATAACACATGCAGAGCACAAGGTCCATGGAACCTTGGTACTTTTTCAGACTCCCAAATATCATGTCAACAACTCAAATCTGACATAACATATCAGCTGTAAGGTTAAATGCGGCTTAGAAATATTATGAAAGAGAACAATAACGAAAGTAATAAGATCCACGTATTACCTTCAGGGCAGAAAATCTGTTTGGCTTAACTTCAAAATTCGCAATTTGTACTAGTATGGCATTTAAGAGAACTCTCATCTTGTCATTGTAACCACCTAAAGAAACCTTTAATAAACATTTAAAGTTAAATGGGAGAGTTCTAACAAAAATTAGCATAATAGCAGTAACTTCACATTTCATCAGAACTGCAACAGTCAGCATGATAATTATAAATGCGAAGCATATAGCTGCTAGGAGCACCCACTGTGTGCACTAAGGGATATAAGCAATCATAGTAACTAAAAATACCTGGAATCCAGCCGAAGTAAGATATATTGAATAGAATAAACCAGCAATTTGAGCATCATAAGCTGCAAAAAAGGCAGATAGTATACATGAACCTTAAGTTGGCAGTACTCTCTAAATTGATTGTTATGCATGGGAAAAATATAAAAGTACACCAAAGTTACAGATTCGTGCTTACCATAAGCATTCAAATAATCTACTAACAAATCAACAAAGAGCTCAGTAGCAACAACTGCTTCAGGGGAGTGGCTGGATAATGGACAGTGGAAATCAATGATAATATGAACCTTTGGTGTGGAGAACAGCATATCAGGCTTATACCACAACTGTGAAAGTGGGCTCTTCCTTAACACTGTTGGAAAAGTAACCTGGTAAAACATTGTCCTTTTCGTTAGAGTTATTTACTACACAAGGTCCCAACAATTTCATATGAATATGAGTACACAGATGATTCTCCTGCATGTTCGAGTAAAAAAAAAATACAATGATGTTAGCATTGAGGTACTCTAAAACTGACCTTTTCATGCACTTCTTTAAGAGATAAATCTTTTGGTATGAAGATATTAGGTTTTGGGAGATGGAGTTTCTCAGTAGGAGCTTTTTTAATCCATTGCTGTCAAGTAGAGAAAATCAATAACAATATGTTAGCACATCAACAGGTTAGGTGAAATAAGATGGAATTCAATAAGATGAGGGAATACAAGAAAACGGGGCTTTTGAAAAGGTGAACCTGTATCACAGAAGGAGTGACATTTTCAACTGAATATGGTGTGTTATACCAGGGCTCAACAGAACTCGTAGATCCTTCAAATTTTTTGGACTCCCAGAATATTCTAAATAAAGAGAAAGAAGTATTGCATAAAAGAAAGAACAAATGCATATGGTATAATGGGCAAAGTAGATAGAAAATAAATTCGATTATATGAAAGTAAAGCGGAATAATCAGCTACTGGGATTAACATTTTAACTACCACCTATGAAAGAGTTACCCAAATTGTATGGACTATAAGAGTCAGTTGACTGAGGTCAAGTCCTCGTCGAGGCAAATTTGAGTGCCCTATTTTCTTCTCTTAATATAAAGCCACCAAGTTAGTCCATGGTTGGTCTTTTCTTTGGGGGTGGGTGGGTGGGTATGGATTACAAGATAGCTAGGCCAACACGTGCTTACACTAAGCATGTGGAGCTTCCCAGATCATGATTTTTCCAAAATTAAACACTGTACATCCGAGCACAGTTCCATCAACTCCCAGCATTTCTGATACATATATGCATATGTGAATGAACAAAATCATAAACCGAGATTATCAAAGAGCAGCTATATTTGAGAAGAGTGAGTAGGCTGTTGTATTTGCCCCCCCAGTGACAGAAAGGGAGATTTCACAAGATTTGCCAGAGTTACTAATGTATCTCCTACTGCTAGCTGAACTATGAGATTGAAGAAGGTACTCTAGTTGACAAAGTTTATTACAGCTTTGCTGCTCTTTTCTTTTGATCTGCATACTCATCAGTAACTGAAGTGGCAAAAGGGAAGATAATTTTGATTCTATTGCTTGATTTACAAGCTCTCCCCCTTTTTATATCTTAGAAAAGAACCATTTCATGTATATGTGTTTACAAGGATAATGATATAGATGGCAGACTGCAGAGCATACCTTACTGTTTCAGGTGATAGTTGATCGAGTATCATATTTATTCTTTGTGGTGCATACTTTGATGGTAATGCTGCTCCAACCAGCCATTCTTCTGGTGGGAACAACTGCAATACAGCTTACAAATATTTGAAACTGAAGTCTAAGGATAATAAGGAACATATGAAGTTACAGTTCAACAGATTTCTGACACAATAAAGAAATTGTACTCAGTAGAATGTTTGTTGATTAGTGTTGTCAATGAAAGAGAATACCACAAGACAATATATTACCTATAAAGATAAATTTGTATTAGAAATAACTGCAAAAGCTGGACCATGCTATAGGTTGTAGCGAAATATACCCGCATAGTTGAGACAGTATGCATCACATAGTTGATTGGATGGACTTTGTCTTGATAATGGAACTCCATTTCATTTATCGCCACAAGCTAGAAAATGACAATATTAGCATTTACTTTTTTTTGTGTAACTGAATGTAAATCAATTCATTTGTTCCACAAGATGCTAACCACATGTAGAAGAGTTGATATTATGACTTATCAACCGGTATTGGCAACAAACAACCTCTAAATATTTTGTGAAAGGAAAATATAACATGAAAACAAGCAATTCATCGAATATAATATTACTTAATATGTAAACCATGACCCTTTCCATTACCTCATTAAATATCCACTCATGGACTCCGTCTTCTTTTAATAGATGAAGATATTTGAAGATCAACCCAACAATATCCTCCATGTGTTCTACAATGTACAATCATTGCAGCATAAAAGGCTTAAGTAATATCAAAGTGCTTCAAATTAAAATAGTTATGCTAGTTTAAGTAAGCAAATATGTATCAAAACTGACCATGACCAGCATCAGTGAGCCTCATGCTTACTGAGAAAAAGGAATATTCATTACTGTCAGTGCTCTCTCCAGCCATTAAGTTCATGGCCCATCCTACAGTAGCCAGATTAGATATGTTACAGGTTGACAAGTAAAGGATGACATGACTATATCTCGAGTAGATAAGGTCAGTAAAGTAAAACCAACTGTGGAAGTAAACTTACCTAGTTCCTTTATAATATGGAAGATGGACCCTCGCCTTCATGCCCAATGAGGTGACTCAGATAATGGCAAGGACCTTCTCTGTAAAACTGGATGCTAGGTGTAATTGGCCATATAATTCTTAGATAGTCCCCTTCTTCTATTGGTAGTGCTTTGACAAGAAGCTGTATAACAGAAATCGCCCACATTTGCCATCATTAAACCAATTTTCTCTAACAAATAGAACTGAATGCGCTGACAAATAGAACTGACAAGCATTCCATCTTCTACCTGCAAATGTTCCTCTGAAAGAGGATGACTTGGACATTTGAAACTTCTCTGATCAGTGTTTTTTATGTCACTAAACATACGCTCAACCAAGCCCTGAATGCAATCGAGACTCTCTACAAAATCATTTTATCAGTAACAAATAGGCTTATGTACTCCAATGTACTAATTTGCAATACTTACCCTTTCCATAAACAACAAGGTGCATAAGTTTTGCTGAATAATTCTCGTAAAACTTCAGAAGTTCAAGTCTGATATCCAGGCCCCTCACTTTTGGTTTAGTTTCTAGTGTTTCCCAACTTCCTGATATATTAAATGGAAAATTAGAAAAATCAAAATGACAAATCCAAAACTTATTCCATATTTGGGATTAAAAATTCCCATGAATACACAATAATGCATGGCCAGAAGATGTCCCTAGATTGCTAGCTTGAACTGAGTTGTAACAGTCTGAGATCTATGCTTCTAATGCAATGAATAGCAGCTGTGTTTGCGCCAGAGAGAGAGAAAAGGTACTGATAGAAAGTTGGTTACTGTAGCTATGTTGATTACTGAAGCAACCAGACCTAAATGCCTATATAAGGAGGGTACTACCTCCATGTATGAGTAACCTTTGTGAGTGATTGAAAAGCAATACTACTACTAGCTCCTTCAGCTCTTCTCTTTGCATAATTCTTGCTTCCCAAACTAGTTAGGTCCAACAACTAGCAAAGATAATAAGCTGCCAAAATGAGCACCCACTGCAACTATCTGAACATAGAGCATTCTTACCTGTACTGAATTTGTGGTAAGGGTGATCCTTTGAAGCCAGATGCTTTTGAAGCTGTGAGAGGAACAAAAAAAAGAAAGAAACTGAGGCCACAAGTGAGCTGGTAAGTTTGAAAACTGAAGATATTTTGAGGATAAGCAAGACTTAGATAATACAAAGTATGGTCGATTCTTGTTCCAAAGTGAGTATAATTGCTACAAAAAAATTACAGTGGTGTTCTCGTAATATGGAAGCATAACTTGTAAGATTAATTTGATAAACTAGGATATTTAAGAGAACCAAAACTTTGATAATGCAAACTATGGTTGATTCTGTTTGTAACATAATTATGACTGCCTTAAAGATTTAAACTGTTATTTTATTTTAATATATAGAAGCACACCTTACAAATAAGAAAATTGTGTACTCAAAATGCCTTTATGCACTACTGACTGCTGTTTCTGATAGACAGATGACACAGAATGCAAAATTATTAGCTGATGTATCTTTAATTGACAATGCTGAACTTCCAAGTACCTGATACATTCTCCAGCCATCAGACAACAAATTTTTCTTGTGTTCTGTAAGGTCAATAAAATAGACAAATTAGACAGGACGTGGAACTCTTTACTGCAAATAAAACATTTGCAAATTATATAGTTATTATGGTTGTTAACTCAGACTAGTATAAAATAATCAACCATCAAAGCTAGTTGCTTTGAGAGATAAGGTCATTTTAATTTTGCCCTATGTCAAACTTCTCTAACTTTAAGCAAGTTAATTGAAGAATACACCAACATCTGGGACATCAAATTAGTTTTGTTAAATCCACCATGGAATATGTCTTGGTAGTGCATTTATTTGATATTTTAGATGTTGGTGCATGTTTCTGTAAACTTCACCGAAGATAACGAAGTTTGATTTAGGGCAAAACTAAAACGACTTACATTTTGGAACCAAGGATTACTATTTATTTTATTTGGAATACAAATAGAAGGATATGCCTTGTCAAATGCAAATAGAGTCACCATGCACAAAACAACTGCTCACCAGAATCAACAGCTTTTATCTCTCTAAGAACAGCATCCTGTGACATCAGTGGCTTAATGAAGAACTGAGCAAATCTGTGCACCAGGAATAACCACATTTTTACTCAATGAATAACCATGCAGTAATGCAGAACATAACTCAGAAGCTTATCCAGCATACATAGATAACTGAGAGCAAAATACTGCTCAAGAAACTTGCCTATCTAAGGCTTCTTCAAAATTGTCCACATTGACATCGAAAAAGAAATTCGTTGTCTCTGAGCTTGTATATGCATTGTAAGAGCCACCATGCTGATATTTTTACACCAAACCAAATAGTCAAAGTTGTAACCAATGTACACTGAAAGTGGCCAGGAATATTATTGAAAAAATATAAGGTGCCCAGTCAACTTCTAAACAAATCATAATAACAGAATTCCAGGCAGGAAACTGTCCGAGGTGTAGAGAGCTTAGCAACTCATTGACTTATGAAAGGAAATTTGTATTGCCTTTTTTCAGCATTTGCCATGCCATGTAAGGGTAACAAGACACCACCAAAATATACATACAGAGACAAGCTGCAGAGCTAAGTGTGTTTTGTTCGAGATCACGACAGGCTACAGATTTGCATTACTCATGTATGGTAAGACTGGTAGGTTGAACCATTTGAGCTGTACTCTAACCACCATGCCCGTATGGCCTTTTGGTACAACCTTACAAACAGTGTTCCCTGAACAATGCACGAGTCATAAAACGCCACCTGTCTAATCAAAGCATTTCCCTCGTCTTTTCACTAACTCAGGTCTCACATTATGACAGGCTCAGCTTCTAAAATCATATAGTCGAACTCATTCAAATCTATATGGTCGTGTGATTTGTGTTAATTGTTGAACTCAGAGGGTGAAATTTTTGGCAAAATGAAATGAGAATGAATCCCCACTCCCCACCCCCACCCACCCACACACACACTTGGATTGGAATTGATGAATAGAATGTACCTCTGTGATATATTTCGTGTACTCATGTTCTCCAGGATACTTCTCGCTGGCATAAAATAGCATGTGCTCTGTAAGCAAGACCATGGTAATAACTCAATACCAAGACAAGGAAGAAAACAAAGAAACAGACAGTGTATTGTCAAGATTACAACAGATGGTAAGAAATCATGACTATGATTAGAAGAAAATGAATTTTGGTTCAATGACACTGGTATCCATCAAACATCTTTTTAGACGACTCGGCCCCGTTCGGCTTACCTTATAATCCACACTATTCAGCTTGTTTTTTCAGCCGGAACAGTGTTTTTCTCTCACAACAATTCAGCCAGAACAGTGTTTTTTAGCAAGTTTCAGCAAGCCGAACGGGGCCCATGTCTCAAGATTACAGCAACTCTAGCGTAGACTGTCAGGTTGCCTTGCATGCATGGCAAATAATAGGTAGTTGGGCACAGTCCTGCAAGTGTTCAGTGCTTGCGTAATTGGTAGTCCCACGTGTGTACCACAGTGCTACGTTACTTTGTGCGGTGACTAGTGAAACTCACCCGCCCGCTGCAGTCTGCACTCTGCACATAACGATCTGCACGGACTGTTGTGATCGTCCCCCATCCATCATATAAAACAGGAGCGAGGATGCTGCCAAGGATCCTACCAGGCAGCAAGGTCCAGGAGCAATTTGGATTTATTTGGAAAACACGGTCCTGTCCTGAGTAAACAATTCCTGAATCGCTCCATAGTATAGATGCGATTCAATAGTGTCACCGACCTGGCGACTTACGTTAACCCAACAATTTTAAAGACTTACTCTAAACTGACATGACCCAACAATTTTTAAGACTTGTGAGAAAAGTGATGCATTGCCCCTGGGCCTGGCCAAAAAAGCTTGGGACACAAGGGATGCATGTACGGATCACCATGGACGCTCTCAAAAACAAGCACAGCTCTCTTGCTCTGATTATATCATTATGCTGTACATCCAAACCGTCAATTGTTTAATCCGACGGACAGAACACGCCGAGCTACAGAAGGAACATCCATTGACTTGACTGAAAGTACGCAACGTCATCATTTGACCGAGGAAAGCACCACGAACAAAGGCAACTCTAGTAGCCAAGCTGGCGTCTCCGTGATTCGCCAAGAGGCAATTCGAGACCGCAGCCGGATCACAAAAGGGGATCCACGCCAGGCCCGCACGCGAGCGATCGAGCGAATCGCAGGGCGAAAGTGCCGCGCTGGGGCCAGGCGCAGCTTGCAATCCCCACCCAATCATTGGCTAGAGCCCTAGACCAGATCCTCACTCCACGAAACAACACGAATCCGACTGCTGATTCGATCAGCACGAGCACGCAACGAATCGAAGGAGAAACCAAAGCGTTGGAAACGAGCAAAGCGAGATGAGCGAGGGGATGGGAGGCGGAGGGAGGACTGAGGAGAGGAGTGAAGTAGTGAAGTCTAAAAAGTAGTGAACTCACCGAGGAAGTGCGCGAGGCCCTCAAGTCCCTCCGGGTCGCTGAACGAGCCCACCTCGACCTCCATGCACGCCGCCGCCTGAGCAGAGCGAGAAGCAGAGAGAGAGGTTAGCAACCAAATCAATCGCGCAAACAAGATGATCCGTAAGCCTTCGGCCCACGAGCATTCCTCGCTATCGCGGCGCTACGCGGGAGAGGAGCAGAAGAGCAGGCGAACGGCGGCGGCCGGAGACGGGGGCTGACCTTGTCGGTGTCGGGGTCGCTGATTAGTAGGATCTCGAGCGCGTTGGCGAGCACCACGCGGCGGTACTCCCGCTTGTCGCTGCGCGCGCGGATGAACTCGACATTGCTGCTTCCCGCCGCCACGGCCGCGGCCGGGGCCGCCACAGCCGCCGCCATCAGTCCACGCTCACAATTCCACGCCTCCGACCCTTCTCCTCCGCTTCGCTTCGATGATGGTCTCTCGCAATGGTGGATAGATTGGATTGGGGGACCAAGACAGGACCCGGTTTGGGAGACTTGATTAGTCTATCTCTTGTCAATCAATTTATATAGGCCTGGTTTAGTTTACTCCATGTCCCATGGAATATTAGAGAGTATTAAAAAATTAATTAATTATATAGTTTATAACTAATTTATGAGACAAATTTTTTAAACTTAATAGTCTATGATTCTCATCGGATGTTTAAACACATGGAGTATTAAATATAGACTAATTATGAAACTAAATGCACATATTGAAACTGTTTTGTGAGACAAAATTTTTAACCCTAATTAATCCACGATTTGATTTGATAATGTGGTGTTACATAAACATGTGCTAATGACAAATTAATTAGGCTTAATAAATTCGTCTCGTAGATTACTTACGAATTCTGTAATTTATTTTTTTATTAGTATTTGAATACCTCATATGACATCCTCATATGATACCTTCTAAACTTTAGTCTCTGGATCAAACACCCCTAACACATGTGCTAATGACGGGTTGATTAAGCTTAATAAATTCGTCTCGTGGGTGGATTACCGACGAATTCTATAATTTGTTTTTTATTAGTATTCAAATATCTTATACGACACATTATAGTCCTGTTTGGTTGGCAGAATTTTGGCTGAAACTGGCTAAAAAATATTGTTCTAGCTAAATTGTTGTGATAGAAAAATATTATTTTGACTGAAAAAAGAAACTGAATAAATTGAATATAGGATAAGCCAAACAGGACCGATATAATATCCGATATTACACCTAAAATTTTTCACCCTATATTTAAACGAGACCATAGTCATCGTGGACTCAGGGGCCAACCGCCCCCACGGGCAGGCCCGGGTGTCTTGCAGTTGCGGCACCAGCTGCAGAAGTGCTCTGCTACGACGTTCTCAAAAAGGACGTGCCAAGTAACCGTTCGCTGCCGCCGCGAGGCCGTTCGTTTTTCTTATAATTCATTTTTTTCAACTTATTTTTTTAAGTAAAACAGTATTTTTCTCTTATAATAAATTAGTCGAAATATTTTGATTTATTTTATCAGCTAAACAAACTGAGCCAAAAAGGCCTTTCCACGCTCGCGAATCACGTGACACGCTGCCTGCGACCGGAATTGGCCTTTTTCCGGCGGCGGGGACTAGGGCCTGCCGCCTCCTGGGCGACGGACGGACGACGGACGGACGGAGGCTCCGGGACTCGCCGACTCGGCCTCTTGCCACCGGGGAACCACAGTGATTCCCACGAAAAATCTGTGCATCCATCCACGCTCGGCTCCGTGCCAGCAGCAGCAGCAGCATTAGTGCATTACCTTGTACAGCTGACGTGCCACGACCGGTGGCAGTGGGAACACGCTTCATCCTTCATTCTTGGCAGGTCGTGGCGTCGTGCATAGCGAATCTTCGAGGAAACTGCTGGTGTTTTGGAAGTGACCTGATGTGAATATGGAGTACACCGTTTGTCCTTTTCTTTTCTTTTCTTTTTTCTTTTTTTTTTGATGCGTTTTCTTGAATACGCAGAAGAGCTGTGCATTTTTATATACTATATATTGAAAAGAAAACATGGTTCGTCTACACGATCAGCCCTTTTTAGGGAATACTCCAATAGATTACAAGAACAGGCCTGGTAAGGCTAAGATCTATTTATCCCCTAAATTGAAAAGGCAACCTAAGTGCGATTCTTATTCTTGCAATCCTCCCGCCCTCTTGCTTGATTGTCGACACTCGACAGAGACTGATTTGCTTGTGCTGCCGCGTTTCTGAAGATGCCCGAATTTTGTTCCTTCCAAGTTCCTCAAGTGATCAGCGCGAGCAAAGTAGTTGAAACCACCCTTTGGCTGCCAGCAGCTAACGCTGGAGCGCCGTGGACCAACTCCCTATAGTATGAAAATTGTCTTGAAAACAAAAACAAACAATGACGCTTAGACACGGCGTCTGGAAAAACAAAAACTGCAATGACGCTTAGGCACGGCATTAGGTAGCGATCGCTCTTTTGTATTGGTAGCCTTTTCACACAAGACTACTCGAACAGAAACTTTTTTATGCATAGAATGACTCTGATCGGAGTCGTGCTAGAAACGCTTGGTAAACAGGGGATGTGGTGTCTTCTGTATTCGCTCCTCCCCGCGTGAGAGCTACTGCTAACTTTGGAAAATTTTCATTCGTCTCTGCTACAACTTTCGGCGTCGTGCCGCACTACGACTGCCAGTAATATGTCACGCGCCTTCTATTTGTATTGTATCATATCGCAGTTGTTTGGTTCCATGGAAGTTAAGGTCTTCGCCTCCATCTAACAAGTCCCGGCGGCAGTACGTTGACGTACAGCACAAAAGGTTGAGGTACAGTTTGCTTAGCATGGTGTTTGCTGAGGTGTAATCGCACTCCTGACACGAGAGATCCAGACTCCAGAGCACTTGCCGCTGATTGTGGTACTCAGCAATCCATTACTGAACGTTGAGACGAATGCCCGCTGATTGAACGACAGAGTTTTTCGCTGGTCTGGACTCTGGTGAGATGACGAGCTTTTCTTCATTTCTTGGTGGCAGCCCTAATTCCGGTGCAAATGAACGACAGAGTTTTTCGCTGGTCTGGACTCTGGTGAGATGACGAGCTTTTCTTCATTTCTTGGTGGCAGCCCTAATTCCGGTGCAAATCGTATCTGTGGTACTCGTACTTTAAATAACACATTAGCTATCATATCCATTAGTGCAACATGATTCGTATTGTTCTGCCGGAGACTATTCAACACCTGCTCCGGAAGACTTGGTACCGTCCAAGGGCGGAGCTAGCAAATTCGATTAGGTGCGCTTGCTCTTGCTGGCGCCAATTGTAAACCAAATGCAGACAGTAAACTTGACACAATGATGTATCATTCACCCTATTCGCTTATGCTGATGCTGAAATGTTGTGAGAGAAAAACACTGTTCCATGGCTGAAATGTTGTGAGTTGAATCCTACCCGGTTTCTATTGCATTTCAAGTTCCCAAAATAAATAGGAACAGGTATGAGTGAATACATCTCGGCAAAGCCAACCGTGGTCCATAAACAATCCCTACTGTTTATCCGTGTAGATGTCTGAAAAATAAACAGAATGACTCCTCGTGGAACTGCCAGTACAGGCTCAATGACAAAAGGTCGCAGCCATCACCTGACAAGTTAACCAAGCCCATGTTTTTGTTCACTGTACAGATGAATAACTACTAATACTAATTGTTGGAACTTGAAATCATCTGCAGGGGCTTAGCCAGGAGTCAAGGATACAGAGGAGAATCTTTGCAGCTAGCAGCTGTGAATAAACACCACTAGCTGCGCCACTAGTTAGTTTTAGAATGGTCCAGGAGTGGGGAATCGGAAATAAGTTCCATCTCCATATCCTGTTGCTTTTTGAGATAATCCTGTGCTGTTGACGTGATTATCTTAATGAAGAAGTTCAGAAGCACAAGCCACACTATAGAGTTCCAGACAAATGTAAAAGAGAAATTCCACTGTTTCTCCTGTACATGGTACAATTATTGAACCAATAAGAAACTGAGATGAATAATTACGGGCAGGTAAGACAGGTCATTCAAGCTCAAACGGTCAGAGATTTAAACTCAAGGTACTGACCTCCATTTGTGAGGACGGTGAGACTGGGGCTGGTGGTGATAGATATTTGTCCTTGGCAGAATGGAGTTTGGCAATCAGAGATGGAAGGGTGGCAGAAAACCCAGGAATGTGACCAAATATCCAGATTAACTCCTTTTCAATAAGATACAAGAGCTGATTGTTGCACAGTGACACGATAAATAGTGTCTGCGAGAGAAGGAAAAATGATGCATGTTAGACCAGTATTGGAGTCAAAACCACCTGACAAAAAACAAAATGACTCAAAAATTCAGGAAGTCAGGTACCATAATAAGCTTAACCAGAGAAGTATCACAATTAATTTTAGTGAGCGCTTCAGGAATAAAGTTCATTTTAAACTTCGGTGGTTTTATATTCTCTAATTTGGATAAACAATAAACCTACAGAATCAAACCAAATCCAGATCATCACATTGTATTCCATTACTGAACTATAATTAGTTTTATTATTGCAAGTAGGAATTCAAGAATTAATTAGGGGATAGAGAAATAAACAGGACACGACTCACTGAGCGCTCATCCTATTAATAGATCAAAGCAACTCATGAGAATCCTGACATAGTTTGTGCTGAAATCATATCTAAAGGGCTAAGCTTTCAAGGCCTAACATAAACAAGACTAGCATGCAGTCTAAATCTAATTATGTTGTTGGCTTTTTCTCAGATAAACAGTAAGATTTCAAAATTTGAATCCAAGTCAATAAGAATGGCATACAAGCATATGAAACTATGCAACATGGAAGAACATTTCCATCTAATTAAGTTACTAAATGAATGTCTTCTCAAAGATTAAAAGACCACTAACCATCATTGGAAATCTCTCCAAATGATTGAAACACGCTAACAATAAAGTGTGTGGCAACAAGTAGAACAAAGGCACACACAAATCACAATAAACATAACTACTGGCTATTATATTATAAGATAACAGTATGAGATTAGATACCTCACCTGAATATGAGTCTTGATGATGGCTTTCCCAATCAAAGTAGCAAAAAAGAACTCCCAGAAAGGCACACCAAATTGCCCACACATAATACCAGCAAGGTCAAAGAGTGGATTCGGAACCTAATAAGAGCATCAAAATTAGGCAATTATTTAAAAAAATAGAATAAAAATCCTTTAAAGCAACCTATGGTAACTGCTGTACAGGGAATGTTCCATATGCTTATTTGTTGGTGTCATTTTATCTAGACAGCTTTTAAATGTGGAGCTAAAGCTTGCACATGGTACAAAGGTGCAAAAAAGATTAATTGTGAAGGCACAAAGTCAAATGGTTCATAAATTATGGGTGTAAAATATCCACATTGAAGAACTTGGTAACAAAGGATGGAAGACGGGAGACTAACCGAAGCAAGTATCAAGATAGAGAAGAAATTGAGATGTTGAGAGTGAGAGAGAAGCCAACGCTTGGTTCGATTAAGAGTGGATGCTACTGGCCCATCTTCTTTGGAAGTAGCGGCATCAAGCTCCTTAACAGCTTTTGACTCGCTACCTGATAAGCGAGCTGCAACATGACACGACATCCATTTAGGTTAGGCAGCTTAAACTGATTAAAAGAACAGAAACAGAATGCCACAACTAGCCTTCCAATTCTTCCCAAGAACTCACAGGCAGCATTCCTCTAAATAGTTATTTCCTAAAATCCATCACACGATTGAAGCTCCACAGAACCTCAAATGCTACCTAAATAATCAGAGTGGGCACAGCCTTATGCACATTGATCTATTATTCAGTTATACGATGAGTTTTATGAATTTAAGGGGAAAAAACTCAACATAGCAATATAGCAAATACTAATTATGCAAAATATTCAGGGGGCTCTAAAAGGACATGAAGGCATTGCAATTTTACCTGCTCGTGATATAAAATAAGGGGGGAGCTCGCCAAGCGCAGTCCCAATTCCCCAAAGAACTGCTTCCAGCTGTATCTGAGGTAGTAAGTCGAAGACTGGGATCCTAACTGAATGAGCTGATGCTGGATACACAGGTGGTCCAAATTCTGAACATTTCTTGTCAAGCCATGATGGCCCAACCTTTAGCTGTATGGTATCATATGGAGCCATTTTCAGATCAATTCGACCACATTGGACAGCCTTAATAGTGAACAGAGCAATATGAGGACCCAGATACAGCACAAATGTATGCAAACCAGAACCTGCATTTAAAATTTCAAATCATCAGCTCAGAAAATGAGTTTTCTTCTCTGTTGCAGCAATAAAACATTCCAAATTTACAGGTCCCAGTTTCCAACTTTAACAAGCATTAATTGTAGGCAGTAAAATCCGGATAACAAACAGACCATGTTTAGCAAAAAAGGCATGACTACTTGCATTGATTTAATAACGTTACAGAAGCTTGACAGAATAATGTCTCAAGACTAACTGGCCATAAATAACCTTCCAAATAAGGGAAAGAAGGCATCAGCTTTCTGCATACTTATTTGATGTGGCTGCTCTGCATAGACAGCTAGGTACATGCAGCAAAAAAAAAAGGTGCCAGCAGCCCAGCACCGTAAATTGTTGTAGGGTAACTAAATCTAGTGTACTGAAATAGATGAAGAACCAGTTACAGATGAACCATTCACAAAAAACTAGCAAGGATCTGGATCATGTGACAGCTAGATATTGAAAAGCAAATAATTATAGCAGAAAAAAAAGGCAAACAGTGAAGCCACTATTCACTGCAAGCTAGTGCCAGTTATTTCTCCTGTTGTCTGTATTTGATATGTAATCTGGCAATTGGTGCCCACCTTCAACTGTTTTCTTTATAAAATCCTAATATGGTTGCAAACACGAACTAAGCAGGAATAGGATGGTCATATCATTCCTTTAATACACTAATTCAGCAATGAAGACCAAAATAAAGTACCTTTTTTTCTGCCTAACTAATTTATTGAAGAATATATGTTTCAAAGCCTTCAAGCATACCACACTGACTATACAGTTAAGACATGATAACCAAATATTTGTAGGACTCCAGCGAAATTTTATTAATTTGCTTTTATTTTAAAGTCTGCAGTGTTGAGAGGTGCGAAAATACTACTTGCCTAGTCCAATTGACGAGGCCACACCTAATGAAGCCCACCACAACACAAATTTAGCATAACTAAGAAATTCCTGCACATGCTGCATACATGTCAGCCAAACAACATTAGTGTTCAAAACTTCAAATAAAAAAAAGGGCGTACCCAGTGCAGAGAGCTCCCGCTCTGTGCGGGGTCTGGGGAAGGGTGTTAGTGGCAAGCCTTACCCTCGCCTGTGCAATGCGAGGAGACCGGGACTCAAACCCGGGACCTTCCGGTCACAGGCGGTAAGACTCTACCGCTTGCACCAGGCCCGCCCTTCAAAACTTCAAATACATTACCAATATGCTATAAAAAAACAGTAACATGCGTTCTTATAAAATGACTATCCATATCCCATAGATTAAGACAAAGACATGAGAAGGACATGCAACACACCTTCTTATTCTGGCCATCCGAAACGGCGAGTAAGATTCCAGGAGCTACCAACAAAACAATTAGGAGAAAGAAGAAACCACCCTTACTCAGGATATATGTCGCTAATCGTTTCAAGTATTGTAACATGGCTAACAGGAAAAAATGTAATGTTCTGAGTGGCTGTTTTGTCAGAGTCAAATTCTCCAAGTCCATTTTGTGTTTCGCTCGAAGTTCTGCAAAATAAACAAATACATGAGATAAAAGGAAAACAGACCAACAGCACCTGTCATCAGCTACTCCCTCGGTTCCAAATTATAAGTCGCTTTGACTTTTTTGGTTCATCCATTTTGCTATGTATCTAGACATATTATTATATCTAGATGCATAGCAAAATGGATGTACCAAATAAGTCAAAGCGACTTATATTTTGGAACGGAGGGAGTAGATGCCTAAACTAAAAGCTAATAGGGTGTTTGGTTTGAGAAATGGGTTAGTCCATCTTCTCATTCCTCATCTTCTCACTCCTCTTTTTTTCGTTTGATTTGTGGAATAGAATGAGCTATTCATCATCACCTCAATCCTTACAAGCTAATAATTCATTCCTGGCAAGCTAATAATCCATTCCTCACAGACTAATAATTACTACTACGAATGGAATCATTCCACCAAATTAGTACTACGAATGGAGTCATTCCACCAAATTTGAGGAATGGACTCATTGCACCACCTCATTTAGAATGGTCGAACCAAACACCCTTAAATTAGCTGGACATGAAACCAAGCCGATCCACAACACCTCGCAGCGCCTTAACGCCACACATGGAACAGAGCCACGGATCTCACCGGGGATGACGCTTCCGCCAACGTTGGACCAGCTCCGAGACGGCGGTGCCGCCGCGGACATCTTCCGGCGCCCCATCGCTCCCAGTCCCACTCTGCGGCGCGCGAAAACCCTACATCACGCGGCTCAACGGCACCGGAGCCACCCTGGGCCGCCCGCCCGGATCTGACTCGAAGCTCCAAGTGCCTCGCGAGCTGACGCAGGGAGCAGCCGGGCCGGACCGCGCTCGAGATTGGAGAGGCTGTGGGCGCGGAGGCGCCGAGACCGGTGGTAGTTCCCTCGCGTCGCGGGTCGCGTTGTTCGTTTCAATTCATTTTCTCTCCCCCTTTTTGCTCTCCTCGCTCCGGTTGGTATTTTGGCCGTTGTTGCGGCTTGCGGGTGCGGGAAGGAAACAAAAACCGGCTCGCTTGTGGGAGGCTTCTGACTCTGTTACATGGGGCCCACAAATTGTCTGGTAGATGGGTCCGCCGTGTCGGTGAGCATGGTGGCCTCGTGGGTGAACGTACTCCGTAGTAGGATTAGACACTAGAGAGAGCTGAGCTGCGCACCGAGATGCTGGCCAAGTCGGAGACGTGCACGAGAGGAATGAAAGAGTGCGGTGCGTACGTGCGTGGGCGATGCCTTGTTTGTTGTCGTTGCACTGCGAGCGATGCCTTCACAGATGCGTAGGCAAAAAGAATAATATACTCGTTTACTTCTCTTATGAGTCGTATTATTTCAGTGAAAAAATAATACTTTTTTTATAATAAATCTGTGAACAGTACTTTCAACCATGATTTTTTAGCGAAACGAACCGTGCCTATAGCTTCCGATCCTGTTTTTTTAAAACAAATGTCTACTCCCTCCGTCCCAAAAAGATTGACGTTTTTTTGACTTTCAGACATCATGTTTGACCGTTCGTTTTATTCAAAAATTTTGTATAAATTATAAAATAAATAAATCATTATTAGAGTATCTCTAATGATAAAATAAGTCATAACATAACAGATGATATTTATATAAAAAATTTGAATAAAATAGATGCTCAAACAAGATGTCTGAAAGTAAAAAATGACACTCTCTCTAGAACAGAGAGAGTAACTTTTATGATAGGACAAAATGTGGTCCTTTTTCAAAAAAGGACAAAAGGTGGTCCGAGTTTAAAAAGTTTTTTTTCCATGAACTCACATGGATAGAGAGGAGAAGCATGTCAAAACCTCTCTGCGGTATATTTTGGAGGTTGTTATCGCACAACCCGTCTGTTCCAACACTCACCCCACCCTGGCACCTCCTCCCTCGCGCATCCACCACCCGTGGCCGGTGGCTCCCGCAATCTCGGCGTCCCACCCGCCTCCCGTCGCCGTCTCCTCAGCCCCGCCCTTCTCTAACCACAGGGCAGCTCGTCGACAGCAACACCCTTGTCTTTGCCCTCGTCCCCGCCCTCGGCTTCCACCACCGGCGGCTGGCCGCTCCTGCCGCCTTGCCGCGCTAACTACCTCCCGCTCTTGCTCCACGACCCTGTCCTCCCCTAATCACAGGGCGGCTCATCGACGAGCACCGCCACCGTAGAATATGGGGTCCCAAACACGTCCAATGCCTATTGTCCAGAATATAAGTGGTAAAAACTATTCCTTTTTACATGCTTTTCACTCAATTATGGACATCCAACATTTGGCGCACCTCCCTCTCGACAAGTTGCGGTGGCTACGGGCATCAGACTTTCTTCAGCGCGTTACAGTTCACAAGAGTGAAGCCAAGGTACGGTGAGCTGTGACTAGGTGAGAGAACCAGACAAGAGTGAAGGTAAGGTATGGCGAACTGTGACTAGCTGAGATCGGCGACCAAACAAAATCTAAGGACTTGTTTGGGCGGGTTTCCGGTAGCTCCGGCTCCGGCTGACACCCCTACAACGAACACTGTAGCATCGGAGCTGTTTTTTCTCCCCACCTTTCCCCTCTCACTGTAGCGTGGTTACTGTTTACGGAGCCAGTTCACTCGAATTTCTGGCTCCTCCGGCTCGGGTTCTGACACGCTACAGTGTGTGAACAGTGTAGGAGCCGAAGAGCCGTAACAAACAGGTTCATGTCCTAATATACAACTCCATAAAGCTTCTAGGGCCTTGTTTAGATCCCATCAAAATTCCAAGTTTTTTTACTCTCTCTGCATCACATCAATTTTTAGACACATGTATGGAGCATTAAATGTAGGTAAAAAAATAATTAATTACACAGTTTGGTTGTAAATCACGAGACGAATCTTTTGAGCCTAGTTAATCCATGATCGGACAAAGTTTATCAAATACAAACGAAACCAAATATGCTACAGTGTACAGATCGCAAAAATTTACGATCTAAACAGGGCCGGCCTAGATTCCGCGCTCTCTCAAGGCTTTTGTAACTGTTCACATACGGGGCTTTTGTTACTGTTCACATACGGGGCGCCCAGCCGTCGTCTGCCGCGTGCCCATGCCGCGTTTCTGTTCCCGGTCTCCCGGTACCGTGCTACCGGCGCGGACGGTTTACGGATCTGACGAGGTCGCCCTTCCTGTGCTCAGCTGCAATGCGCGTGCGTGTCCGGGCCTGAGTTTCGACCTCGGAGGTTTCGTCCTAGCCTCCTGGGCCAGATCCCTTCCTCCGCTTCCTCGCCTCCAATCAATCCCCGCCGCCAGGATGACATCGACGGCGGTGGCGGCGGCGTGAAATGCGGTTGCCGCGGCACCTCGCGCTTGCCTTCCGCACAGCCGCTGCCTCCTCCCTCCGCCTTCTGCGCCGTCATCGCGTCCTTACTTCCTGTCCCCGCGGCCACCATAGAGCCGTAGCCGTCGTCTTGGTCGACCTCAGGCTCCACTCCATCAGCCTCCCCAACCTGCTCCATAGCGATCCGCAGCCGCAGTTGCCCCCTGCTAGCGACCGGTGTGACGACGACATGGTGGTGGACCTGAGATGCTACTGATCTTCATCTCCATCCACGCCGCCCAGATCTGGTGAGTTCATCACAGAATCTTCTCCTCCCCCGTCATTATTTTGTTGTGAACATGGTCGGCAGCATGTGTGATCTCAAAAGAAAGCACGTGTACATCTGCTTCAGTTTTTTTTTCTCTACGTATCGGCTGATCTGGCACTGTCAGCTCCTCCATTGCCTTCCTCATGAATACACACTACTAACATGCAAGTATGCAAAAGGTTGGTCTCAGCGTGTATTTGGAATGAGGCGTTGTCATCGCTTTGTGCTAATCTAAGGGGTTTCATTTAATGTGCTTGACAAATAGGAATCCACAGCCTGGTGCAGTGACAGGTACGTCGCCACACTCTCCCTTTAGCCAATTTCCCCCATGCCGCTTGTGTTGTGGCTTCAAAATCTGGAAGTGCAGGTTTAATATGAAACTAAAGATCTCTATTTTCAAACAGGCTACCCATATATCCTGCACCAAGATTGAGGAATATGTGAAAATTGCCAGCATATCCCCTTTGAATCTGAATAGTGACTTCAAATTAAAGGGTTCATGACATGAGGAAGCTGTGAAAATTGCCAGCATATCCCCTTTGTCCCTGTTGTAGATTTATAAAATTATACTGAACTTACTGAAATTAGAAAGGCTATTTGGATTTTTTTTCATGTGGCCATGTCATTCCTGACTATGCGCTCAATCGAACATCCCCAAACCAGGTACATGTACATCATGTCCCCTCTCTACATATTTATTTCCAGATTTCAAAAATGTTCCACGAGCTTTTTTTACATTATCCATGAACAGAGAAAATCCATGTCTTCTTGGAGCTATGTTTCTTAATGGATATCTCATATATGTAATAGGAGCTCCAAATTGTCAATCGCATGTTACACGTAACAATACATTGGGATTTCTAAACTCGAAGCCCACTTAGAATTATGGAAATCTGGGGCTTGCAGGAGGGGTTCAAATTGATGTCTTGTGATTCCCCTCGGTGTTGCCTTCACCTGCTTCATGCACTGATCGATATATTAACAAAGATCTGGTCCATATGTCGTTGCTTGCTCTCTAGCTGTCCTTATAAGTTGCAACGATGTGTCAAATTTCCTTTGTCTACAGAAGAATGCAGTTTGCATGTTCCAAGGTACTCCAACGGAGGCTAACTGTTTTTTTGTTATCTGTTTGTGGTGCTAATTCTTCTATAACATTTTGTGAAACCAAGTTAAGAATGAATCGTACAACTAAGAAGTAAACATATGAATCATCTAGGTATACTTGCTTCTTGTCCTTGGTTTCTTGGGTAAACGGGAGGCTGCTTAGTGCTTTTCATTATTTTACATCTTATTTTTCCGTTTCATTTCTTCTTTTTTGCATTTTACATCTCACTGCAGTTGACCGTACCAGATAGCCATATGCATAGTCTCTGATTCTCAGGCAGAAAACAAATTAGTTTCCTTGCCACGAGACGAGTGAGTATTCATGTTATTGACTAGCGAATCCTATTGTTTCCAAAAAAAAACTAATCCTACAAATTGTGATCTTTTGGTTATTTTAAGGAAAACCCTCTAGGATTTTGACAAACATAGCTAATGTACCATCAAATTGTTTGGAACAGCAATAGTCACAAATACGTCATTTATCAACTCTAGGATTTTGACAAACATAGTCGATTGGTATGTACAATCTGTCTATGGTATTTGCGCCTTTTTTTTCCATGTGACAGTAAAGGTCTGTAAATTTGTTTTGGTTAACAAATTTGCCGTATTTGTGTAGCTTCACTTAAGTTCATTGAAATCAGGTTACAGGCCCATATGTTCCATAGATGATAGATCAGCTTTTCATGTGACACCTGAACTTTATGTCTCCAATATAAAGATGATTTTTACGTTCTCCCTATCGACGGATGTTTCAATTATTGCTAACAAAGTAACAAGCTTAAGCAGCACATACCAAACTTTTGTTGTCCAAGAAATGATTGATTAGCTGTAATAATGTCCTGATATGAAGTGTGGATTAATTACTATGCAGCTGGAAAAACGAAGATTACAGATGATGGAGAACACTCAATACAAATGATGCAGTACCTGCTGTTCGATTCTTGCTGCGCTACTTACGAGTCAAGGTGTCAGTGCCAGCGTCATTCGGCTTA